CGCCAAACATTCGGTAGAATTTATAGAATATTGTAAAATTATATATATATATATATATATATATGATGTGAATTTTTTGCAGTTTCCTCCTCAATATTCAGCCATCTCTGAACAACACCAGCCTGCTGAATTAGTTCCTCATTTCTCAACATTGGAATACACACTTACTGTAATTTTTTTTATTATCCTGTGCAAACTTGATAACAAATTATTTACTTGTTTAGCTTTAATTTGGAATGTTTTATAAAAATGAACTTCATTCAACTTCAGAGAGTGCAATGTCATCCTCCAATCTTCCTTATTGTCCTGGACACTTGCATGGAAGATGAAGATCTCCAGGCTGTTAAGGTGCTTTTTTAATTTTTATCATTTCTGATTTCTGTTGTTTTCCCACTCACATTAATTCATATATTCAATCTACAATTTTTTTACCAACATAGGAATCATTGCAAATGTCCCTGAGCTTGCTGCCTCCAAATGCATTAGTTGGACTGATAACTTTTGGGAAAATGGTACAGATACATGAACTAGGTTGTGAAGGGTACTCAAAAAGTTATGTTTTCAAAGGAACTAAGGACTTCACTGCTAAACAAGTTCAGGTAACTCTTATTTCCATGTTGTCTGCTTTTATATCAATTAACTGACTCTTGAACGATTAACAACTGTTTTTTCCTAATGCTTTTTTCTTTTCTTTTGATATAACTAATAGGTTAAATTATGTATTATAAGGAGTTGTTAGGGATTGGCAAGGGTCACATGGGACCACATGCTCACCGACCTAGCAACCCCCAGCAGGGCCAACAACAGTTACCTTACAGCAGGTACAAACTCTTAACTAACGAGGAATTTTTCTGGTTTTCACTGTGCAGAAATGTTGAACGTTTGTATAAATAAGTATGAATTCAAAATATTTACTTCAGTTGATATTTTCTATCGAATTTTTGTTGCAGATTTCTTCAGCCGCTGCACAAATGTGACATGGCATTGACCGACCTGCTGGGTGAATTGCAAAGAGATCCATGGCCAGTAGCTCAGGGTAAACGACCTCTGAGATCAACTGGTGTAGCAGCTTCGATTGCCGTTGGTCTACTGGAGGTTAGTATTAGTTAGTTGATTTTAGAAACTGACTAAAAGGTTGACCTAGGAGTGTCTTTATTCTATGGACTGGATAATGGAGATGGCCCTACATTATTTTGTTGGCTAATAGCCATAATGTTCTATAACTTGAAGCACAGAAAATAATCCAAGCTGTCAATTTCAATTTATTTCAATTATTTAAAAACTAAACAGTGCACGTATCCAAACACTGGCGCCCGCATAATGATATTCATGGGAGGTGCTTGTACCCAGGGACCAGGTCAGGTGTTGGGTGATGAGTTGAAGTATCCAATCAGGTCTCATCACGACATAGAAAAGGACAACTGCAAATACATGAAGAAGGCAATGAAGGTCAGCTATATTATTGCTTGTTCGCTTATTTGTTGTTGTTGTTGTATTGTGATCAGTTATTTATTTGTTTGTTTATTTGCTTGATGTTGTTGTTTATCTTATGATTTGCACTGTATGTTGAACTTTGTTTACTTTATGACCATTCATTCACCAGCATTATGAGTCTCTGGCACACAGAGCCTGCAACAATGGGCATGTTGTGGATATCTATGCATGTGCATTGGACCAAACTGGTCTGCTTGAGATGAAGTACCTGCCCACACTCACTGGGTTTGATTCTTTTCATTTGGCACTCATTCATTCATTCACTCATTCATTTGTTTATTTGCTTGTTGCTTGTTTGCTGTTCTCATCATTATTTGTTATATTATGTTATAGATTTTTGATATGTATGTTGGTTTGTTTGTTTGTTGGTTATCCTCTTCTTGAATGTTTGATCTCACTGTAAGTATACGTAAAAGATACAAAACTTTATATGTTCAATACTATTTAGTATGTGTTTAAAGCATACAAGATAGTTACTTCCTATCATATTTGTATTCACTTTTATATACATGATAAACGTGAGGATGATAAACACGACATCACGACATGTCATTGATAACTCAGGGGTCACATGGTCATGGGAGATTCATTCAACACATCATTATTCAAGCAAACTTTCCAAAGAGTGTTCGCCAAGGATAGCAAAAATGAGTTCAAAATGGCATTTGCTGCTAATATTGAAGTCAAGGTTTGAACTAACATACAACAATTACATGCGACAGTTATTAATATTATTTAGATTTTAAAAACATAGCATTACACAAGTTTTAAAAAACTGGTGATGTTACACGCTGGTGCATGTGCAATGTTGTGTGCTGCTCCACACATGCAGAGTAAACTGCTGCCAGTGCAGTTCTGAAATGATATGTCACTCCAGTTTTTTATAAATGCTTATGATGCAGCTGTGTATTCGCAGCTCTACACATCACTATATTTTTACTGTTATTAATATTATTATGGTTGTTATTGTTATTATTATTATCAATTTGATTATCACTCGAACTCTGTTAAGACCTCTAAGGAGTTGAAAGTGCAAGGCTGCATTGGATCATGCACGTCCATGAGCAACAAGACAGGGACGAACATATCCGAGACTGAAGTGGGTGTCGGTGGCACCTGTCAGTGGAGGATGTGTGGACTCTATCCAAACACAACTTATGCTTTCTTCTTTGAAGTGGCCAACCAGGTTTTATTCTTGCTCTTTTTTTATGGTTTTCGGTGCAGATTCTCTTGTTATTAATATGCTTTATTAATACTGTAGTTGTTTGGTGAAATAAATTGAATTTGATGAACCGTTTTTTAATTTTTCAATTAGTGTCTGAATTTGTGACATTGATTTTAAAAAATTGAATGCAGCACAACGCACCAATACCACAAGGTGGCAGGGGCTACATTCAATTCATCACGCAGTATCAGCATTCAAGTGGACAGAGAAGAATTAGAGTGACAACATTAGCCAGAAAGTATGCATTTGATAGTGTTTGCTTGTATAAAAAAGGCAAATGAATAAGAATTTAATGAATCTAACTTATAATGTGTGGATTTCAATTATAGAATTTATAATTGATTATCTTTTTATTTGCTAATTCATTAGCTGGTTCGATGCAGCGGTGAACATTCAGAACATAGCAGCAGGATTTGACCAAGATGCTGCTGCTGTCCTGATGGCTAGGATTGCTGCATTCAGAGCTGAGACAGATGAGGGGCCAGATGTTTTGCGCTGGCTTGATAGGATGCTCATCAGACTTGTCAGTTTATTCATTCATTCTATGCATTTATTCATACATTCCAGGCATTTATTCATTCATTTTATTAGTTCTTAGCTGCTCGTTTTATTTTCGTTATTGTTGTCTTAAATAAATGTTGTTTTGCTTCAAAATTAATATCAGTTGTCACTCTTAATGTTTGTTCGTATCATATAATTGTCACTTTGAGTGTATGTCAACTAAATAAAAATAACAAAATTGAAATTATTGAGGGAAATAACTTTAAAATTTCACACCAGTGTCAGAAATTTGGCGAATTCAACAAAGATGATCCCAATTCATTTGTGCTGAGTCAGCAGTTTACATTGTACCCACAGTTCATGTTCCACCTCAGAAGGTCTCAGTTCCTGCAAGTCTTCAACAACAGTCCCGACGAAACAACCTACTACAGGTTTGTCTGATCTTGAGATGTTAGGCCTCATTTTGTTTCTCATTTTGCCTGGCATGTCTTACTGGTTAGGGCATCTGGCTTGCCCTGTTTCACTTGCAAACAAATTTGTGCCCGTTCAATGCTGTAGGATGCATTATTTTGTTGTAGGATGCATTATTTTGTAATGTTAAAAAGCGCTGTTGAAAAGTGAAAAATTTGCGTTGTATTTTATTTTTTGACTGCTTATTAATGGTTTCATCAGTTTATGTGTTTATTGGACTAATTAAAATTCATTCATAGACACATGTTGATGGTGGAGGATATACAGCAGAACCTTATCATGATCCAACCAATCATCTACGCGTACAGCTTCAATGGTCCACCTGAGGTGCTCTATTGTTTCATTTCTTTATGTTTGTTATGGTGATGATGAGGATGGTTGTAATTCTAGTTGGCTTTTTGTTTGTGTCAATATTATGATGATGAAGATTACTTTGAAGTTTAATTTCATCCAACCTACCTGATCTGACCTGACAGCCAGTCTTGTTGGACACCAGCAGCATACTGCCTGACAGGATCCTTCTGATGGACACCTTCTTCCAGATACTCATCTACCACGGAGAGGTACACTAAATAGTTATTATTATGTTCCCTTACTAAAAATTTCTTTTCTATAATTTTTATATCAATTTGTTTTTCTACTGAACTATCTTATAGTTCAGTTTTATTATTGATTTTTGTATAAATTAACCAAATGTTATCATTTGATTGGCCGGTTTAACTAAAAATTACTTCCTACTACCAAAATTACCTGACCTGACTGAATAAGTTAATCTATCAGACTTACACCATCAAAAAATTAAAAAATTTCCATGAACTCAAACAATGTATGTAGACGATAGCTCAGTGGAGGAAGGCTGGCTACCAGGACCTACCGGAGTACCAGAACTTCAAACAACTCCTACAAGCACCGGTTGATGATGCACAGGATATCTTGCAGACCAGATTCCCCATGCCAAGATACATCGACACAGAATCTGGAGGCTCGCAGGTTTCGTTCATGTTGCACTGTTGTCTCGCATGACTGTTGTGTTGTTAATCTGACAATGGTGCACTGATAATATGCGCTGATGGATGCTATAAACAGCAGCAAAGAAGCTTTTGCAGTTAATTAAATTATCGGTTAAAGTTTCTTAGAAAATTAATCAGTGAAGATTGTGATGGCTGAAAATGATTATTTAAAGATGATCCTGATGTCAATATATAGGCTGAACAAGTTAATTAACTTTTGTTGTAAGCAAGATGGAATTAGTATAAAAACCCTGTTGTAATTTGAATAGGCACGCTTCTTGTTGTCACGAGTTAATCCCTCTCAGACGCACAACAACATGTACTCCTATGGACAGGTACCATCATTTCAATCATTCACTTCTTCATCATCTTCCTTTTTATTTCTCCCTTCATTTTCATTATCATTGTCTCCGTTATTTTCACTTGATCAATTTCACTGAACGTTTTGTATATTGTTTAGGCACACTTCGTTTTGGTGTTATTGCTGTTGCCACTACTGCAGCTACAATCGCCGCTGCTGCTACTTATTTTATAACTACCGCGATTTTTGCCATGTGTATTCTTATGCTATTCACTTGCGTATTGTATCATCATCTTAATGCATGACTTGTTTGTAAGTAATGATAATGGAATAATTGCATGCCAACTGCAGTCCCTCAGTTTAGACCCTGCACTCGCTGCTTACAGCACTAGGGTTTGTTTGTTCACAAGGATGATCTTCATAACTATCAATCATCTTATTTTTTATACAGATTATGGAATTATATTATAAATGATAATTATTATTTAATTTGTAAGTTACTTTCGATTTGTATTGGCTTCTTTGAGTCCATAATTTAAACAATTATAACCTGCTTGTATTTATTTCGTGGTGCTGGTTTTTGTTCGTAAATCAAATAAAATTTTGTGGTGGTTTTCGGTGCTAGGTTATTGTTTAATTAATTGATGTTCGTTCTGCTTTTCATTAATTCAATTTATTTATCTATTGCTTACATCATTGTCATCATGGCTGTTACCAGTTATTTAATCAATCAATCAACTAATTAATTAATTAATTCAATTGATTTAATTAAGATAATTTTGTTAATTAATATTATGGCGTTGTGGGTATTTATCAAAATACAGCTCAAAAAGCTTAACTTAAAAATTATTGTTTGCATTCAGGTTTAGGAGATTTATTTATTTAAATATCTAATTATAAAGTTTATTAATTGTAATAATTTTATTTTATTTACTTCAAATAAATTATTGTTTAATTTGAACAATTTGATAAGGAGGGAGGTGGCCACGTTTTAACAGATGATGTCAGCTTGCAGGTCTTTATGGAACATTTGAAGAAACTTGCAGTCTCAAGCAATTCTTAAATATTTCATATTTTTTCTACAATTTTCAGTTGCATAAAACTAAAAAAAATTATATCAGTCAGATATTTTTCAATTTTTGGAAATAGGAAAGCAGGATGATTTTTGTCATGGCGTAATTGTAATTGTACTTTAATTGCATTTTAGTTTTTCGATGTACATTCGTTATTCGTATGTTACTATTTTCTTGTATTTTATAAAATAAAGTAATAATATCTCGTAAGATCATTTTATTAAATTAATTAAATGCAAATATGAAATATTATAATCGAAAACAAATCCAACATCAAAAGAAAAGTGTTTGGTTGGTTTATGTGGGTCAAATATGTCGATCGCTTGACTTTATTAATGATTGACACCTTTTGTATTAATCTACAGAGGTACAAGTGTTTTAAGTTATAACGTGTTGGAGAATAAGTTCATCACATAATATAAATGACTTTCAAATGTTTGTTTTATGCGTTTCTAAAGGTGCGATCATGGATATAATATATATATCCATGGGTGCGATGTATCTTCATAGGCAATGTATACCTGATGATCGTTCATCCAATGTAGTTTAAAATTGCAACAAATAAGTTGTACTAGGGAAGAACTTGACTTAACGTCACGTTGCTTAACTGGTCGAAGAATTTTTATTACGACGTGGATAAGTGTAGAAATGAAGTGAAACTTTCTTTAAATATATTACGACATAGTTAACGTATTTCGTTGTGACTTTACATATTAATATTAAGGAAATTTATATACAGCGTTTATATATATATATATATATATATATATATATGTATATATGTCACAACATTTGTGACTGTACAATTGAATGAAATTTACATAAATGTGATCTCTTGTCTATGTTTACAATCTACAAGTTGTGCATGTTTGCTATGCAGTAGTAATCGTCAGTAATGTAATGTTCAATCATGTGTAATACAAATTGAAAAAAAGCTTTTGGTCAAGTTTTCGCTAATTGTAAATATTGGTTTGTATAATAATTAACTTGTATCTTTAATTAGTAATTTTCGAGCAGTTATGTATAATTAGTTTTAATTTAATTTTAATATTATTATTAATTATTATTATATTTATATAATTTAATTAATTTAATCATTAATCCATGCTTCAATGTCAATCAAATGAAATATAATATAAAGTATATAATTATGTATTAAATAAAAATAATATATTTTATTTTATTTAAAATTAAATTAATGGATAATATTAATAAATTAACAATTGTTTTTTTAAAAATCAAGAAATATTAATATATTATAATTATATTATATTATATTTAATTTTTTAATTTAATAATTGTATATATACATATAAAATAAAATATTAATTATAATTCAATTCAGGAATAATTTGTAAAATAAAATTAAATTATTGATCATCATAATAAAATAAATAATTTCTTACTCAGCATCTTTAAAAAAATTGTAACTTTTTAATAATTTAACATTTTCATTCTCTAAACTTTTCTTAACATGCTATATATATATTTATAATTTTAAAATTAGTATAATATATAATTAACATTAATAAATCATAATGTGAAATTAAAATTAGTTTGAATTGAATTGTTAGTCAGTCAGTTTATTATTCTGCTATCATCACAAAACTTTAACAAGCTTTGAAATAAATCTGGATATTTATTTTAGGCTTTAGTAAAGTAAAGTTTAATAAATTTATATTGCATTGGTTAAATTTTAAATATCTGATTAATAAATAAATTAAAATTACTAATAGATTATAATCATTATATAAAAAAGATAAAAGAAACTCAAACTATCACAAAGATTAATTAAATCAATCAAAGTACAATGTTTAACTAAAAAGAACTAAGGAGCCTTCTGTAGTGTAACCTATAAAAAAGTAAACGAAATAAGAATTTTTTTAGTTAAAAATTTATCTGCTCTACTTGGAGGTTTTTTTTATCCTGGAATGAAATTCAATTCATATTTCCATTGTGTAGCTACATTTCTTTTATCAGCAACCACTTTCGACTGTTCAAAATGCAAATTAATGATAAATTGTTGACTGGCTGTCAATATTTTATGAATTGGCATCCACTGAATGAAGTTTTTTGCCTTAGCCTGAAAATTGGATTAGTCCATCATAAATGTTTTCCAGGCCACTAGATAAGTTGGAAAGTATTATTCCAAATATTTTCTTGTAAATAATTTCTGCTATAATAGTCTACAGTAAACTTTCTATATGTATAAATCTTTCATCTCAACATCATCTTGCTTTAAATCACCAAATTCGTTAAAATTTTGTTCTGCTGATACAAAATATGATGATTCACCGAGTAGAGCAACAGATGAAAAACATGAAACCCTTCAAAATGATCGAAATGAAGATTCTTCAAATTCGTTTTTACACAAAATAACATCAAGTTGCTTGAAATCATCTTCAGATAAAGTTGATTTTATACATCCTTTGACAATGTCTTCCACTTGCCTCTATTTTCAGTCACCTTCAATGCTGCCAAAAATAGAAAAAAACAGACCTAAAAGTTGTAAAACATCATCATCTGTCAATTTGAATGAGGACCATGTCTTTCCAGATTATTCATTTGAACTTTGTGAGGTGCAGAAGGGAAGTAGTCACTCTGGTTATTTTTTGAGCAATAACTATTTGAAAGTTAACAATTCAAATTATTCTGTTGATAAAAGCAGCTTGAAAGTAAAGCATCAACTGTTTCATAAACAAACAACCAGTATACATAACAATAATTGTAAAGTTTTTTCATCTACCACAAGAACAAACAACATATTTTTAACATCACCTAAATCAGAATCTAACTTGTGTTCTAAATTTACAAGTAGTTTTCCAAGAAGAAGTTTACCACCATCAGCAGATCAACGCATCCACAGTGACCATGAAAATTCAGATTCACCGAAAATTCATCAACAGAAAATTATGACCCATTCACTAAGTTCTAAACCAAGAAGTCCTAAAATTTCACCGCTCTGTAATAATTTAAAAATAAATTCCAACAACAGCAGTAGCAGTCACATTCTTAAATCACCTGAACTTTCAAAGTCATCACTTGTGAGCACATTACAACCCATCTCATGCGACCATGTTGCCTCCATGCTACACCTTCAGTTAAAAAATATCAATGCTCATGAAGATACTAAGGAGTTCAGTTTAACCGGTGTTAAGTCTAGAAAAGAAGCAGGTGATATAAATAAATATAGAATGAACAAAAACAGTAGCAATAATGATGTAGGTTGTTTAAACAGCAGCAACGATGATAAAATGATTTTAGTTGATTGTCGTACATTTGTATTATACAACAACAGTCATATATATGGCGCTTTAAATGTTTCTTGTAGCGACTGCATAACCCGAAAACGACTGCTATGTGGTAAGATAAACATTGGAGACCTAGTCTCTGGTCCTGAAGATGCCAAGGTAACATTTCGACGATCGCTAGATGATGAAAATGTTAAAATTGTGCTCTACGATGAAGATTCCTGTGAGAAAGTTTCGTCACTGAAGACTCATCCTCTCAAAGTCATTTCGACCAGTTTGCTTCAATTCAACAAGGCTGTGTATTTTCTTGACGGTGTGTGTTTCTTTTTTCATTACTTTTCACTCACTACTTTGTGATAGTTTTTGTTTATAGTTTTAGCTAATTGGTTTATATGATGTGGCCTTCGTTTATATATTGTTTTAAAATTAAATTGAATCTATTCAAAAATGTTAGTGCTTCAATTTATCTAGCTCCTGTATTCCTGGGATGTTTTTAATGTGTTGTTCATTTCAAAGGCAAGTAACAGGATGTAAAGTAGATGAAGATTGGTGCATCTCTGTTGTACTAATTTGTAAATAATGAATGTGATGGTATTCTGATGATGACAATCAACAATGATGATAAAAAATGGTGATGAGGCCTTTGATCACAAATGATGATGATGATCATATCATCATCACCGTCCTCTTTGATAAAGAGCAACACCATCATCAAACTCCTCACATTTGCCACTATCTTCATTCATAATTGCCATCCTATTTATTATGATCATCATCAGTACTCCGCATGGCAGATAATTACTTTTGAATAGACAGAACATTACATGCTCATTCTTTTATTAACTTCTTCATTTACTCATTCAGTCAAACAAATTGCACTTCTATATTCTGATCACATGTTTCAACAATCATTCATCCTCTTCACTATCCATTATTAAATGGTTTATCTCCTCTGCACACAAGCACGCACACGCACACATACCTTATTAGATATTAAAAATTATTATAAATATTATAGGTTAATATTATTGAGTTATTATATTGTATGAACAGCTTGAAAGGCAAGATATTATTGTCTTACTGATAAATAAATTTATTGTTGTTATATGAGAGGATATATATATACACCAACCTCTATATTTATGTTGTATTTTAGTAGCCAGTATTTATATATATATATATATATATATATATATATATATATATATATATATATATATATATATATAAACGGACAAACATATATATTATACACCGTGTATATATATATATATATATATATATATATATATATATATATATATATATCGGTTGGATTACTGCAACAGCTTGTTGTAAAAAACACCTGATAATTCTATTGCTATTCTACAATCGGTTCAAAATAGAGCTGAAAAATTGGTTGCTGGTAAATTAAAGTTAGACCACGTTACGCCAATTTTGAGTGATCTGCACTGGTTGTTATAATGAATGCTTTCGTCATATATTGGAGCGACAACTACATCCCTATCACAACTATGCACAAAATAGAAGGAGCCATTAGAACACACCTGGAAACCATATATCAAACTATCCCATCACGAGACATAGTAGTAAATGATACTAGTACGGTAACAAGAACTACAGCCATCTAAGAATTGCTGGAGCGATCTTCATTAACCAAAGATAGCCGCAAATCAACAAGCAGCAAAGAATAGCAACATCATTACCGACCATAAGAATTTTATTGAAAATTGTTAAAAATTGAAAAAAAAATTTATTTAAGACTTTACGAGCAAAGAGAATGAACAGAACAAAGATATAATAACTGGAAATTACCAAGATATAATGAACGGACAGAGCAAAGCAGAATTAAAGAACTTTGCACATACAAATATTGTAAAATCTTGAAATATTCCTAAATAAGCGCTGATGATCCAAATATGGCCCATATACGTTTCACCATGAAAACCAACGATTTTCTAATTAATTTTAATAAATTTGATAATAATTACAAAGTTACTGTTGGAAATATTGAAAAGCTCAATGGTAAACTTTCAGAAGCTAAAAATTCGGTATATTTTATTAAATATTGTATCAATTATGGTCTTTAAGCTTTTACTATATATATATATATATATATATATATATATATATATATATATATACACTAAGATATGAGCTGTGTGTGTGTACGTGCGTGCGTGTATAATTCAATTTACAAAACTAAGCATTAAAATTTTTAAAAAATATGCATTTGAATAATAAATTAATAATAATAAATAAAAATCACATTATAAAAAGACGGCATATTATATCGCATATTTACATTGTATTGCGTATTACATTGCACTACCTCTCACTCTCTCTTTCTTTCTCTCTCTTTCTGACTCATTCGCAAAAAAAATAGCATACAAACAAAACAAATAGACACACATACATACAGACTACGCTACTCCTACCGTTTCTCTCTTGTTTTCATTAGCACCTTTATGTATGTGTGTTTATGTATGTATATATATATATATATATATATATATATATGTATATATATATACACACACAAGGTATGCAATGTATTATTTGTGTGCATTTATGTGTGATGTACAGTGTACATTGTTGTATTAATACATAAGACACACTGTATGTTGGTGAATACAATGCACTTTTACTTGTACCATAATTTGTGCGGTTTTTAGATATTATTAATGGATATAGCACGTGTATATATAAAGTGTTCTTGTACATGTGTGGGTGAGTGTGTTTGACTTTTAGTTTTGTATGTTGTGTTTCTGTGTTTGCATATGGTTTAGCAGCATATGGTAGTTAAGCTATCAATTGATGGCCTACCCAACAAAACACCGCGTACTATGTCTGTTAGAGTTAGTTATTTAACATACACAACATGATTATGGTCCTGTTTTCAACCATTTCCAGTGTGCAATTCAACGCTGCTGATGGTGATGTGTCCTTTTTTAATTCTAGTACCATATCAGTAGACCTAATCAATGATAAATAAACAATCAATTAATGCTGCTGTTTCTACAACTGTTAATGAGTAACTCATGAAGATGATGATGGATGGCTTGTTTACCTTCCAGTCGCAATTATCACTCTTCCTGATTTAGGAACAGCAACAATAATAATAACACATTAACCCAATACTTATACACACACACACACACACACACACACACACACACACACACACACACACACACACACACACACACACACACATATATATATATATATATTTATTTATCTTTTTGTCTTTTATACGTTTCATTCACTTCATCACAGCAAGCAATATTTCTCTCTCACTGCCTTACAAATTATATTATTTATATTTTATTAAAGTAACCTCCCTTAATATTTACTTACAGCAAATACTAATTATAATAATAGCAATAATAGTAATAGTAATACCGAATGATAAAAGTATGAATAGTTTTGATTTATAAGTTTTGTTTAATATTGGTATTACACATTGTTTGAATTTTTTACTAATTTTAATTATTGTCTGAACACAAAATAAACATGTTACATGTTGGTAAACAGTAAAATAATTAATTGTATAAATAATTAGCACTAATGAACTAATTCATTAGTTTGCTAGCTAAATAAAAAGTTGGCATATAAATAAACAGTTAAATAAGTACATATATGAATATATAATTACCTTTGTACATAGTGTATAATGGTCAGGTAATTACTTTCTGGTCTCATTATGATAATTGTAGGCATGAATTTGTAGAGCTTGGATTAGTTGCAGTTTCAGGTTCACAACCCATATATACATTTCTAATTTCATCAATTTGAACTTTGTATTGTAAAAATAAATATAATTTTTTATTGAAAGATTATACAGATATTTAAACTTAAGGTTATAAATTGACTCATTAGAAATTAAAAATGGATTGTATTTATTTACAGAGATCACTCTTTTCATTAGTGAACACCTATCTATACTTCTATAGCATCATCAGTTTGTGTTCATCAGATGATTATGTTTTGTAATCACCACAACATCACCATTTGTAATCACCACATCATCATAATCATCATTTAAAATCATCACACCTCATTTAGCTAATTCATTCATGGAAAGCAATGCAAACAGAATAGAGTGTTCAGTGCTCACTAATGATTAAGATACTTACCGGTTGATAATCTCACCAGCCGGACATAACGTCATTCTTCCATCTTCGTCATGTTCATCATACATCCAGTTTTTTGCTGCATACAATTCAGTCAATTTATTTTTCAATTTTCTTTTTTGACGTGTTTCTGATTGTAAGTATTCTACCTTTCTGCCTTTATTCAATATTCATTCCGCACGTGTACAATAACCTCCCTCTGAATACATGCACGCCTACACAACTAAGTTCACTTACCTTGCATCATTATTTAGAAGATGTGTTGTTTTATATATGTGATATAGCGCTAAACACACACACACACACATACATATATATATATATATATATATATATATATATATATATATATATATATATATATATATATGTTGGTAATAGACCATAATTTTTACAATATTCTATAAATTCTACCATATGTTTGGCGTTAATATGTTTGTAGTGCGTTTTTCCGATTTTTCTCACTAAATTTTTTGGTGAACGTTGGTTATCAACACCAAAGTTAATTTTTACAACGTCAAAGTTAATCTTGACAAAGTCTATATTTCCCTATATATACAACAAGGAGCACTGACG